TGTCTGTATCCCCTATGGAGCCTGCCAGAATGCTACACTGTAGAGTCATTCAGGATAGTGAAAACCGTGGCAATAATGTTATCACACAATTGTTTAATACTTTAGTTAACTTAACCCTTTATGTTAGTCGTACAATGTTAGGCAAAAACAAGTCTAGGCCGTTGAATCACTGTGATGAAACTTCTCCTTTAAAACAATGAAGGTTGGACTAGTAATGACAAATAATTCTTTTCAAGTATGAGCACCCTCTCTAACTTTTAATTATAAAAATTTCAAATATACCGAAAAAAAAAAAACAACAGAAAAGATGTTACAATAAACAGCCATATACCTACCACCTATATTCAACAACTGTTAACCTTTTGCTGTATTTGCTTCACCTTCAGACATACACACTCCTAAACCACTTAAATTACATATGATCTTCCACACTGCTATGGTCTGCATGTCTCCCCAAAATTTGTATGTTGGAACCCAATACCCAATGGGATAGTGTTAAAAGGTGGGGCTTTTGGAAAGTGATTAAGTCATAAGGGCTTCACCCTCATGAATGAGATTGCTGCCTTATAAAAGAGGCTTGAGTGGGGCTGGGCGCAGTGGCTCACGTCTGTAATCCCAGCACTTTGGGAGGCCGAGGTGGGTGGATCACCTGAGGTCAGGAGTTTGAGACCCGCCTGGCCAACATGTCGAAACCCCATCACTACTAAAAAAATACAAAAATTAGCCAGGCATGGTGGCACACACCTATAATACCAGCTACTCGGGAGGCTGAAATAGGAGAACTGCTTAAACCCAGGAAACAAAGTTTGTAGTGAGCGGAGATCGTGCCACTGCACTCCGGCCTGGGCAACAGAGCAAGACTCTGTTTCCAAAAAAAAAAAAGAGGTTTGAGGGAATTCTCTTGCCCCTTTCACCACGTGAGGATGCAGCAAGAAGGCAACACCTATGAGAAATAGCCCTTCACCAGACACCAAATCTGCTGGCACCTTGAACTTGAACTTCCCAGTTTCCAGAACTGTGAGAAATAAATTTCTGTTGTTTTTAAACTACCCAGTCTAGGGCATTTTGTTATAATAGCCCTATAAACTAAGACACACACACCAAAACGCTTCAGCACGTATCTCTAAAATTTAAAGCCACTCTTCGAAATAACTACAGTATCATTCTCACACCTGCTAAATTTACCATAATTCTTTGATATCATCTAATATTCAGTGATATTAAAAAGTTGAACACTTAAAATAGTTCTAGTGTAACTAAGATCTAAGCCCACAAACTAGAAGCCATTGATCTATGAATTATATGTGTTAGGGAAGGAAAAATACACATAAACTCCACAACTGTACTTCTTTCTGAAAAGAAAGAGAGCTTCGCCAGGTACAGTGGCTCACGCCTGTGATACCAGCACTTTGGGAGTCTGAGGCAGGTGGATCACCTGAGGTCAGGAATTCAAGACCAGCTTGGCCGACTTGGTGAAACCCCATCTCTATTAAAAACACAAAAATTATCCAGGTGTGGTGGTGGGCACCTGTAATCCCAGCTACTCAGGAGGCTAAGGCAGGAGAATTGCTTGAACTAAGGCAGCAGAGGTTGCAGTGAGCTGAGGTTGTGCTACTGCACTCCAGCCTGGGTAAGAGAGTGAGATTCTGCCAATCAATCAATCAATAAAATAAAATATAAATAAATAAATAAAGAAAATAAAGAAAAAAGAGCTTTCAATTTTCACATTTGGCTCTTCAGTTCTAACACTGTATGTTTGAAAAGGCAATCTCTGCTCAAGCACTACATTAATTAGGAAGCAGTATTCTTGGAATAGATCTTCATGTATTATACAATTCTGTTGCAGTACCAGTTACTAATCCATAATCCACTTTATTTCCAAACAAGAATTTAAAATGACTTGTAAAATTTATTTGTTTCTTAAAAATTCAATAAAAACTATAATTAAAGAATAAAACATATAATGTAGAACAAGGAAGCAGACAATTGAACTAGAAACATGAACTAAGGCTAGCTACTGCAACAAAACAATTTTGAGTTTTCTGGCAACCAAAGCAAAAATGGAGATATGATGGTTTCATTGTAATTTTTTTCATTAGCTATTAAAAAAAGTGTTTAAGAATAGAATTTATCTCCACTTAACTGGAGAAGAAATTTATACATGGACTTTTATATAAGAACTACTAATAATTAATTTTTTTTTTTTTTTTTTTAAGACAGAGTCTTGCTCTTTCACCCAGCCTGGAATGTAATGGTGCAATCTCAGCTCCCAGCAACCTCTGTCACCTGGGCAAGTGATCCTCCCACCTCAGCCTCCTTACTAGCTGGGACTACAGTCATGAGTCACCATACCCAGCTAATTTTTGTATTTTTTGAAGAGATGGGGTTTTGCCATGTTGCCCAGACAGACTTCAAACTCTTGGGCTCAAGAGATACCCCCACCTTGGGCACCCAAAGTGCTGCGATTAAAGGCATGAACCACCATGCCTGGCCTAACTAAAATCTTTAAGAATTGTTTTTTTAAAAGATAAGAAGACATCCTTCATAGATAAGTCTTACTTTGAGACAGAATCTCACTCTGTCGCTCTGGCTGGAATGCAATGGCACGATCTGGGCTCACTGCAGCCTCCACCTCTGGATTCAAGAGATCCTCATGCCTCAGCCTCCTGACTAGCGGGGATTACAGGCATGTGCCATCACAGCTGGCTAATTTTTCTGTTTTTAGTAGAGATGAGGTTTCACCATGTTGGCCAGGCTGGTCTTGAACTCTTGACCTCAAGTGATCTATTCTCCTCAGCCTCCCCAAGTGCTGAGATTATAGACATGAGCCACTGCATCTGGCCCACAGATGATTCTTATAATCATCTATAACAATAACCAAGGGCTTATTACAAAATCATAGTTCAGTGAGTTTCTACGTGAGCTGAAGGAACACAGTTTAAGTCTGCAGCTTTCTGGTAACCTGACTTGATACTGGAAGAGGGACAGTCTAGGCAACAGATAGGGAGGAGGTCCCTTAGCATATTTCCAAATATTAGGTATCTAATCTCGGTTTTTATCAAAAGTTGGTTGGCACACAAGATTGAACTCAATAGGAAGCAGTCTGGTAATTAGCATATAATCTCCATATAAAACCGCCTAAAAAATTTTGTCCCCACTATTAGTTTCCTTTTACACCTAACAAATTCAATGCCCTGTTGCATAAGTTAATAGAAGAAGGAAATATTGTGAAAATCTGGGGAGTCCAATTTCAGATTCCCTGATCTTAAATAAATACTACATAGAAAAAGGGTAAACAAGTTTTAAGAATCTTACTTTTGGTTCCCTCTTTTACTATTTCTTATCATTTATTAAGCACACATGCACGTACATGCAAGGTTAGCATACAGCATTAGTTTTCTCTCGAATAATGTTTCTCAACTCAATTGTCCTTTCTTCTGAATCTTAGTCCTGACATTTCAGAGAAACAGAACAGTGTAAATGAGAACAGCTCAGGTCTTTGCGATATCTTAAGACTTCCTAGTCTCCAAGTGTTTCAGTCTGCCTTGCATGAAGCCTGGGCCCAATATATACTAGTTATCTTTCCTGTTCCATACTTCCATCTCAGATGTATTCTACTAGCTACCAATCACTACGAATTTCTATGCAGAAATTGCAAGTTTGCTAATCAGAGTTAGAGTTCAAAGTTCTTTGCTTCCCCTGTGCCAGCTGACGACATCTCCATACCTCAGCTCTGTTCAAGAGAAGAATGTCCACTGCTTGATAACTTAGTAGCCCAAGTAAAGCTTGAGCTTTGTATTCATCATTAAAAAGGCAATGGGATAGGATAAATCAAGGAATAAAAATTGTTCTGCTCTTTTTCTGTACTTTTCTTTCTGGTATGACTTTCAGGCATATATTCTCAAATAATGTTTCCCAGCTCATGGGAGTTCTCAACTCAACCACCAGAAGGGTAAGAAGTATGCAAAGGGCTAGGATCAGAGCTATGAAATACTGAAGGGATGCTTAGTTCCATAACAATGGGAAAGTAACCACAGGCCCTTTATTGGTGGGGTGAGAAGGGTCTTCAAAGAGCAAAAATACGAGAATTCTAAGAAGGGATTTCCTCATAATTCAAACAAAGTCTACCCATCTCTATAAGCTGTAGTTTATTTTGGCCTCTTGTACTTACATCTGCTCCCAATTGTGACTTCATTATCTCACTCGTCTTCTGTCTTTTCTTTGACTCCTGAACAAAAATTTCAGATTCTAGCACACACACATGGAAACTATTATTTGACTGTGCTTTACAACATCTAGTTCTGGTACTTATAAGTTAGTCAGACAGCATACACCTTTAACCTTATTAACATATGGCACTCTTCCACTTCACCTATGATATCACCAATCTCAGGACTCATTGCCCCTTTGGAATTATATCTTAAGCTTTCATGTCTAATATGTCTAACAATTTTAGTCTCATTGCTAGTATCCTATTCCCTTTCCATACTCATCCACCAGGATCTATTATCTTTCAAGCAAAAATCATGGTGATATAAAGAAATCAGGAAGAACTGGATTAGAATCACTGCTCTGTTGACCATAACAGTATAACTTTCATAATCACCAAATACTAGTTTCTTCATCATCAGAACCAGGATACAGCATCCCTTACATAATTGTTTTGTGTAAAGACACATGTACTATCAGCTGCTACTAGTAGTACTGCACTGAATAATTTCCAAATTTCAAATATAATAATCCCTTCTACGTCTATGGCTCTTTATAAAAGTTTCCAATTATCTCCATTTTACAAAAGAGAAGATTGAGGCTTGCAAAAGTCCTGCGTATGTTAGAACCTCAGTAAAGGTAAGATACCATTCAGAAGGCCATGATTTATTCAAGGTCACATACCTAATCCAGATTATGATTAGAACTAAGGACTTCTGACATTTCACTAACAATCTTTCTACTACTTTGCCACTGAGTTAACTGTCTCTAATTCTGTGCTGCTATGTTTATTTGGGGAAAAAAAAATTATAAGTTACATTTCTTATGCTCAATCTCTGCTTTAACTGCTTTTCTTTGGGCTTTAGCTTATAAATTTAGGACAGCTCTCACATACTTGAACTTCTCTCCATTTCTCCACACACTTCTTTTTTTTTTTTTTTGGGATGGAGTTTCGCTCTTGTTACCCAGGCTGGAGTGCAATGGCGCGATCTCGGGTCACCGCAACCTCCGCCTCCCGGGTTCAGGCAATTCTCCTGCCCCAGCCTCCTGAGTCGCTGGGATTACAGGCATGCGCCACCATGCCCAGCTAATTTTTTGTATTTTTAGTAGAGACGGGGTTTCACCATTTTGACCAGGATGGTCTCGATCTCTTGACCTTGTGATCCACCCGCCTCGGCCTCCCAAAGTGCGGGGATTACAGGCTTGAGCCACCGCACCCAGCCTTCCATACACTTATTATAATCACTGAAGATTCTACAACTTATTTCAACAGAAAAGGTTGAGATCGCGAGTTATTTTCTTTTTTTTTTTTTTTTTTTTTTTTGAGACGGAGTCTTGCTCTGTCACCCAGGCTGCAGTGCAGTGTCATGACATCGGCTCACTGCAACCTCCGCCTCCTGGGTTCAACAAATTCTCCTGTTTCAGCCTCCTGAGTAGCTGGGACTACAGGTACATGCCACCATGCCAGGCTAATTTTTTAATTTTTACTAGATATGGGATTTCACCATGTTGGTCAGGCCGGCCTCAAACTCCTGACCTCAAGATCCTACCCACCTCAGCCTCCCAAAGAGCTGAGATTACAGGCGTGAGCCACCACGCCCAGCTACGAGTTATTTCTTTACAGACTTCTACCACTACAACTTCACTCTCTAATTCCATATTTTAACTCTTACTTATATACACCACAGGCAAATGCCTCTCTGATCCAAATATCTTATCTTAACCTCACACACTTCACATAATTTGCCTAGAAGCCAGACTGGAATGCTGTATTTTCTGCTATTTACATTTCTCCTTTAAAGACAATGCTTAAGAATCACTTCCTCTGTCAAGATAACTCATAGGGAAAAGATGAATAGTCTTGATCTTTTGGATGAAAGACCTAAATCTAAAACTCTCATAAGAAAACATGGGTATAAATCTTTGTGATCTTAAATTAGTCAATGAATCTGTTTGTTTTTTTCCTGGTCCTTGATTTAGGATAGGCAATGGTTTCTTAGATATGACACCAAAAACATAAACAACAAAAGAAAAAATAAAATAGACATGATCAAAATTAAAAACTGTTATGCTTCAAAGGACACCATTAACAAAGTGAAAAGATAAACCACAGAATGAGGAAATCATCTTGCAAATCATATAACTGATAAGGAATTTGTACAAAGAATATATAAAAAATTATAACTCAATATTAAAAAGAAATCCAATTAAAAAAACGACAGAGGACCTTAACAGACATTTCTTCCAAGGAGATATACAAATGGCCAATAAGCACATAAAAAGATGCTTGGCTTCATCATTAACCATCAAGGAAACGTAAATAAAAATGTGATACTTCACACCCACTGGGATGGCTATAAAAACAGACAATAATAAGAATTGGTAAGAATGTTCAGAAATTGGAACCCTCATATATTGCTAGTGGGAAAATGGTACACAGCACCTTTGGAAAACGGTTTGGCAATTCCCTAGATGATTAATCTACTCCTACATGTATATACCCAGGAGAAATGAATACATATGTTTCTACAGATATTCACAGCAGCACTATTCATACTGTCCAAAAAGTAGAAATAACATAAAGTCCATCAACTGATAAATGAATAAATAAAATGTGATCTATCCACATAAGGAATATTATTTTGCAATAAGGAAAGAAATATATTACAACATGGATAAACCTTGAAAACAATGTGCTAAATAAAAGTAGCCGGATCCAAAGGACCATGTATTACATGTTTCTGGAAAAAAGCAATTCCCAAAGGGCAATATATTATATGATTCCCTTAATACAAGATGTCCACAACAAGCAAGTCTATAGGGATAGAATATAGATTAGTGGTTGCCTAGGGCTGGGGGAGAATGAGGAGATTGGGATAATGAGGAGATTGGGCAGTTATGGCTAACAGGTACAGGGGTTCCTTTTGGGATAATAAAAATGTTCTAAAATTGTAGTAATGGTTGCACAACTCTGTGAATCTACTAACAGCCACGGACTGTATACTTTTAATAGGTGAAGCATATGGTATAAGAATTATATTTTTAAAAGCTGTTTTAAAAAAGTCACTCCTCCATGAAATAGTCCCATAGACAAGTCTCACTTTGTTTCCTTATCTTTGAAGCTTCTTATGAAAAAAATCTCGGTTGAACCAAGTCTCTAAGGAAGATTTGCTTGTAATCTGTACATCTGAACTTAATGATCAGCTGAGAATTCTACAGGGACTGGGATAAGGAAGGAATTAAACATTCCATAAAAGACTATTTTTGTAGAAAAGTGTCATCTTTACTCCAGCATATCTCCTATGGTAAATCTGTGGAATTAAGTAGCTACTCCTCTATATGTTTATGTGGTGTATTTAGAGCAAAAAATTAAATCATTAAGTGACAAAATAGAGTTGTAGTAACATTATACAAATGGCACCATGGAATATGCATGACTGGTATCAGAATTAGAAATACTGATAAAATTTTTATATTACAATGAACCATTGATTCTTTTGGATAAAAAAAGGTCTCTTCATTCTAAACAATTTATGAATTCTTTGACTTACTAAAAGGCTACCATAGCTGGAAAATAAGCTAACCTATCTGCAAAATGCCCATTCCTGCTAAAGAAAAAAATCTTGACTCAGAACTTCAAAAATAAAATTAACTGAAGTCACAAACTGCTTGCTATTTATTAACCCATTTTCCAATCAAGCTTTTTAAAATAACTTCACCGTTTCATAAAATGTAATTTCTCTGCATTCTGGTAGGTTTCATTCACCAAGTGCACTTGCTTTTTAAAAAAACAAGCACAGTCATAATAGTATCTAATGAAGCTGTCCACAGTGAAAAGCCTCCTTAATTTCAGTGACATGTAGGAGTATGATTTTAAAAGACTTTCTTTGAAATTATTTAAGTTTCTGGATTAATTCTGACTCATATTGTGTTCCATGTACCAAGTTAGATACAAAATAGATGCTTACATTGCTGCTAAGATACGTGAACGTTACAATTTCACCTTTTAATACTGGTACCAAGTAGGTGTCTAGAGGTCAAGGAGCTCTGGTAGTAATTTCAAGGGAGAACATAGGAACGTGGCAAAAAGATTGGCTGTTGTAGTTTTTAGAAACATCAAGTACTTTTAAGTTAATACAACCCATTTAACTTCACCATTTTCTTTTTCCTTTTCTAATTTTATTTTTAATATAAATAGGGTCTCTCTATGTTGCCCAGGCTGGTCTCGAACTCCTGGGCTCAAGCAGTCCTCCCAGCTCAGCCTCCCAAAGCACTGGGAATACAGGAGTGAGCCACTGCACCCAGTCTCTTTATTATTTTTTAAGAGATGAGGTCTGGCTATAATGCCCAGGCTGGTCTCAAACTCCTACGCTCAAGTGATCCTCCCACCTCAGCCTCTCAAGTAGCTGGAACTATAGGCACACACCACTGTGCCCAGTATAACATCACCACTTTCTAAAGAAAATAATAGCATGCATACACACATATATATCACCTTCCTTATCATCACCAAGGTTTCCAATCATCCATATTTAATACAAAATGTTAGTATATTATATACAAAGAGTTTCACATATATTTGATATAATCCTCAGAACAGCTCCAAGAGGCAGTTATTATAATTACTACCACCCCTTAACTCAAAGAGGAAGCTGAAAGGATCAGAAACTTACTCAAGGTAACAAAGCTGAGAGGTAATAAAGGAATCAGCTACCATTGCTGGAGGCACCGCTGTCTACTAGGAAGATTCTTTCATTTAGGAGTACAAAAACAAAGAGAAAAAAATTTCCTTACAATTTTAAAACATGCAGTCACACTTTTTGAAACTCATTCTTCTCTTGTATGATGAGATTAGAAAACGTTTTGTTGTCATATCCTAAACCAACTGTATACCTTCTCTTGCGAGCATATAGAATAACACCAATAGCTTCTCAGCCATAGCACTAAACTGAGCACTTCACTCCATAGCTCAGCCTCTGCCAAGAATAGCTTTGCATTTCTCTAAGCCTACTTGTTTCCACAAGAATCCTCCCCTTCAGAGCAAATGCCCTGATGGTTGTGATTGTAGCCTCTAGGGCTTCTTACCAGACATTCTGGATCCTAAGGATTTTAGCTACTCTTTCTCCATTTCAGCCGCACAGAGCAAGTCCTTCCCAAAGTGGGGAGAGAGAAGCCTTTAAAAAGACACAGCTGAATTTCTTCTCATTTAAAAAAAGCAAGATGGGGCCAGCCATCGTGGTTCACACCTGTAATCCCAGCACTTTGGGAGGCTGAGGCGGGTGGATCACCTGAGGTCAGGAGTTCAAGACCAGCCAGGCCAACATGGTAAAACCCATTTCTACTAATAATACAAAAAATTTTGCGGGGCATGGTGGCACCTGACTATATAATCCCAGCTACTTGGGAGGCTGAGGAAGGAGAATCGCTTGAGCCTGGGAGGCGGAGGTTGAAGTGAGCCAAGATAGCACCACCACACTCCAGCCTGGGCAACAGAGCAAGACTCCATCTCAAAAAAATATAAATAAATAAAAAGCAAGATGGGGCTGGGAATGGTAGCTCACGCCTGTAATCCCAGCACTTTGGGAGGCCAGATCACCTGAGGTCAAGAGTTCAAGACCAGCCTGGCCAACATGGTGAAACCCCATCTCTACAAAAATTATCTGGGCATGGTGGTGCAAACCTGTAATCCCAGCTATTCGGGGGGCTGAGACAGGCAAATTAGTTGAACCCAGGAGGCAGAAGCTGCAGTGAGCCAAGATCATGCCATTCCATTCCAGCCTGGGTGAGTCAGACTCTGTCTTTAAAAAAAAAAAAAAAAAAAAAAAAAAAAGCAAGATGGAGTCTGTCTTTGTTGCCCTGGCTGCCTCAAACACTTGGCCTTAAGTGATCCTTCTGCCTCAGCCTCCCAAAGTGCTGGGATTACAGACGTGAGCCACCTGCACCCAGCCCTTAACCTCTTTCCCTTTTGCCTTTTTTTTTTTTTTTTTTAAATCCCTGCAAGGAGGGAGGAAAAAAATAACTAAGTACACTCAGAGAAAATTTAATAAATATGCATGTAGCTTTAAAAACTGGTTTAATTTTTTTTTAACTATGCAGACTGATGACTATCGTGTAATATAAAGTATTACAAACCATGGTTCTAAATTTGATTCTGCAAGTAAATTTGGTGATAATGAGCCAAGTCACATTTACACTCTGCCTCACTTGTCCATTTGAATAATAGGTGTTTTTCCCTAAGGGTATTGGGCAGTTTAAGGAAATAAAGCATTGCTAGCATTCTTAAAAGAGTAAATGGACCAGTATAAGAAATATCTAAAATAAATGCATACTCAATAGTTTAAAATTCTCTATACCTAATTCCCCTATATTCTTTTCAAGGTCAGGGGTAAGGGTTTGTTGTGTTCATTATTACATCACCAGCACCCTGTGCAATGCCCAGAACATAGGTGACACTCTGCTGGAGATGAGTGTGGAGGAGCAGAAAGAACACCTACTACCTTACTTGGCCTCTTGCTAGTTTTGTAACCTTGGGCAACCTTTTTAATCCCAATCTCAGTTTCCTCATCAGTACAACAGGATAATAATTACTTTGTATTATTGTCAGGAGAATAAATCATTGTTATGAGAATGTATCAATGGATAACAGTACTTTTTTTCTAGGCATATAAAAGGTATTCAACAAAATGTTAATTCTTCATATATCTGAAGACTGATTTAAAACCTAGATTTAATTAGGCAACACATGCTCCATTAATGTAAGCTGCAGAATGATTTCTAAAAATAAACTCAGAGTCCCCTCAGTTACATATATATAAATAAAATGGTTCAACATTTTTTTGCATCATAAACCCCTTGGAGAATTTAATGAAAACTATGCATTCTTTCTCCAGAAAAAAAAAAAAAAATTCACACACATGCAACTTTACATATAATCCTAGGAAATCCATGGACCCAAAGTTAAATTCTCTTATGTAACTTTTTGCTTTAGTTACCAGGAAGCTCAGTGCCAAAACCGTAATTTGACTTTATCAGGTAGACCCTGGTAGCCTAGACTATGTTCTGATGTTCTCCATGGCTTTTCTTTAAAAGCTTGTCTTATGGGCTTAAAACAGCTTCTATGTATAACAGGCCTATTCAGATTTAAATTTAGACTTCAAAATATTCAATTTATATAGTTGAAAATTTAGAAGCCAAAGTTTTTCCTTAAGCTTTTAGGATTATCTTATAAATCATATGGTTCTTTTCAAAGCTCAGCAAACTCTGGCAACACTTCAGGAGTATATACATAATATTTGGCTCCATTTATAAACTTAACATACTTTCATTTTAAGCTATATTATTTCAAAATTATTTTAAAATATTTTCAATATTTAAATTACTGATTTTATCCTCACTGCATTTATTTTTATCAATCCCCCTCCTTCCATATGTAACCAATCTTCTATATCTGCAGCTACCACCACTTCCCTGGTGTAGATGTCATCCTCATCCCACCTGGGCTCTGAAACTCCACACTAGGCAACATCAATGCACCATGGATGTCCTTCTCACCCAACATGAATCTGACTCCTTATCATCAGGCTGTACAGCTACACAGACCCATTCCTTCTCCCCATAACCCCTGGGCTTGATGTGTCACCTGTCCGTATCCACTCTTTCCCACTCACGTCCTGCAGTGGCAGGAACATACTTTTCTCCTATAGTAATAACTAGGAAAGAACCCTGTAGAATACAATACAGGAAAGTCCTTGGAAATATCTATGAAGAGAACTTGAAGAAAAATGAACTTTAAACCATTTTCACACAAGATAAGACTTAGAAATATATTATTATTGAATAACTAGGAAAACATGGATTTGATTAAATCCATGCTGATTAGCACTCTTAGCTGAGCAAGTAGGTTGTGTTACATATACCTGAAGAAATTTTAACCATATTATCTACAGAGACCCAATATTCTGTGGCAAATCCAGAGCCAGATTCCACACATCCTGTGTCTCACAACTGTATTGAAATAAATAGCTATGCCATTATGCCACTTCTCTGGTATCCTGCCATTCAGTTCTTGCCTGCTACATATGGGTAAATGGATGAGATGTGGGGTTTTTGGTTGTTGTTAAGTGCCAACTAAGAAGCGAATTAACTTTTAGGTACAACTTCATAAAATGTTTTATAAGTTATTATAGCAGCTACTATGTACCCAAGAGCTGTACTAGGTGCTACTTAATTTGAATTTCGGGCTGGGTACGGTGGCTTACATCTGTAATCCCAGCACTTTGGAAGGTTGAGGCAGATGGATCTTTTAAGGCCAGGAGTTGGAGATCAGCCTGGCCAATGTGGCAAAACCCCATCTCTACTAAAACTACAAAAATTAGTTGGGCGTGGTGGTGTACACCTGCAATCCCAGCTATTCAGGAGGCTAAGTGTTTGAACCCAGGAGACTGAGGCACAAGAATCCTTTGAAGCCAGGAGGTGGAGGTTGCAGTGAGCTGAGGCTGCATCACTGCACTCCAGCCTAAGTGACAGAGTGAGACTCCACCAAAAAAAAAAAAAGAATTTCCACAACAATCCAATGAGTTCCTTGTTAATAAGGAAACAAATACTTGACAAAAGTTACCGACTCACCACCACACACACACACACAAAAATTATCCTACTTGTTCAAAATATACTAGAGTAAGGAATCCAGGTAAAAATCAAGCAAATCCCCAAATCTTGACAACACTGTACATGAATAAAAGATCTATGGAATAAGATTCTCAAACACCAATTATGAATAATTTAAGCTCTGATGTCATATGAAAAACTCCCAAAGAACCAGTCCACTACTTATAGCTAGTGATATTAATAAGAATAAATTACTGTAGTCCTGTATACATATTAAACTTATAAAATCCTTCCTGCCAAATATTCACAGAGAAAACAAAATGGAAAGAAAAGATATGGGGTTCTGAGCAGCTTACAATAGGTATGAGATGTTTAATTTTGTTTTGATCTCTTAAAAAATAAGCCAGGTATCTTCACTTGTTTCAGAGAATTAAAAACAAAAATGTTTTAATATGAAAAGTGAACTAATTTGTTTTTGATCTCAGGTCAAAAAGAATTTAGGTTAATTCTGAATTTGATTTGCTAAGACTAAGTTATAACTATCATTATATAAGTTTGATTCTAGACTGATAAAACAGAATAATATGGAAAAGGGAATATTTAATATGTAGCACAAACCACATTTTTCTTTATACATAACAAAATACTTTTTTGTGAGGCAAATCAATGTTCCAGAAACACACAAATTCAGAAATCTAAATGTGGGGAATGGACTGAATCCTGTTGAGACTTCTCTCAGCTTTCCAATATGGTGATCTATGATTCAACTATCCTGAGTACCTGCAGGGTTCCTGTTTTAAATCTTGCAGTAGATGTCTAAACGGCAAGTTCCTCTCTGTTAATTACACCTTCAGTAGAACAAATGTACTGCATTATAATGAAATTATATGCATATGATGCATTATTATGCATTTTTAAGAAAATACAATTTGTTCCAAATGATAGTTTCACTCACCTATAATAGATAGTATTTCTTGAATAAGTCATAATTAACATAAAGGATTTGTTTCGCTTGGGTAAAAGAATGTTTCAAAATCTTGTCTTAATTGATTGATTGATTGATTGAGACGAAGTTTTGCTCTTGTTGCCCAGGCTGTAGTGCAGGGGCTCAATCTTGGCTCACTACAACCTCTGCCTCCCAGGTTCAAGTGATTCTCCTGCCTCAGCCTCCTGAGTAGTTGGGATTACAGTCTTCTGCCATCACGCCCAGCTAATTTTTTGTATTTTTAGTAGAGATGGGGTTTCACCATGATGGCCAGGCTGGTCTCGAACTCCTGACTTCAGGTGATCCACCTGCCTTGGCCTCCCAAAGTGATGGAATTACAGGCATGAGCCACTGTGCCCAGCCTTAAAATCTTTAAAAATATTCATATCCTTTGAATCAGAGTCCACTTTTTAGAGGCTCTCCTATGGAAATAGATCTAAATATTTTCAATTTTACATAAGAATTAAGAAAAAAAGCCTGGCACAGTGGCTCACACCTTTAATCCCAGCACTTTGGGAGGCTGAGGGCGGATCGCTTGAGCCCAAGAGTTTAAGACCAGCATGGTAAAACTCCACCTATACAAAAAAATACAAAAATGAGCCAGACATAGTGGCACATGCCTATAGAATCAGCTACTCAGGAAGCTTAGGTGAGAGGATCACTTGCACCCAGGAGGTGAGCTGAGATCATGCCACTGTACTCCAGCCTGGGTAACAGAGTGAGACCCTGTCCCAAAAAACAAAACACAACAAAAATTAGGAAAAAAAAAAAAAAAAGACAAAACCCCAGGCTGGGTACAGTGACTCACATCTATAATCCCAACACTTTGAGTGGCTGAGGCAGGAAGATCACTTGAGGCCAGGAATTCAAAACCAGCCTGGGCAACACAATAAGACCTTATTGCTAAAAAAAATTTTTTTTTAAATTAGCACAGCATGGGGGCAAGTTCCTGTAGTCCTGGCTACTTGGGAGGCTGAGGAATGATATCTTGAGCCAAGGAGTTCGAGACTGCAGTGAGCCATGATTGTACCACTGCACTCCAGCCTGACAGAGCAAGACCCTGTCTCTTCAAACAAACTACCAACCCTAAACACTATAATATCTTTTTTTTCCAAGGTGGAGTATTGCTCTGTCGCTCAGAGCAACCTCCACTTGCTCTCGGCTCACTGCAACCTCCACTCACAGGTTCAAGTAATTCTCCTGCCTCAGCTTTCTCGTTATAGGCACATGCCACGCCCCCACCCCCCTACCCCCACCCCCACCCCCTGCTCATTTTCATATTTTTAGGAGAGTCAGGGCTTCACTATGTTGGCCAGGCTGGTCTCGAACTCCTGACCTCGTGATCCACTCACCTCGGCCTTCCAAAGTGCTGGGACTACAGGCGTGAGTCATGGCACCCAGCCCACTATAATACCTTTTCTATCTTCAGCATTCATACTGAATTATCTGTAGGACTTCATACTGCCTATCTTCTATTTACTGTTAGAATGGTGAGGCCTCAGAACCCCTTATTCCTGGAACCTAATTGCTTTAAATGTATGGGAGGGGTTAGAAAATATTTAACTTAGGCATGACCTAAAAGTTTGCACTAACCTAGACAGAAGTGAATGCTTATACTATGAAAGGACCACCTTAATCCTGACCTCCCAACGCAGCAATCCTCTATTTCCCAGCTGTCAGCAATAAACTTAGGACAGTTCTCTAGGTAGCATTCTGGAAGTAGAAATAATGGCATCAGCAGAATGCTTTTCCTCACTCTCTGAGTGAGGAAGCAGTGACCTTATCTCTTCCCTTTATGGATCTAGGTTAAACCTATCATTCATGATATTAATATCTATATATTCACTAGAACAGAATTTTTGATGATTGATTATATATGTCCCTGCAGAGTATTAAAAAAAAAAAAAAAAAACAAAATCCAAACAGTCATTCATCACATCACCAGAATCACAATCAGAGCTATACTCTCCCTGGGAGGTCATTCTTTAAAGCTTCTATTCCGGATTAAATATATCCCAATTCCCCAGCCACTTGAAAATCATTAATGAATGATCAAAAGGTATATTAAAGAAGCTAATTTAATACACTAAAACAGTAAGCACCAAATGTCTAAATGAGAAAAGAAATCAGTCTGAAAGAATAAGCCACCCATATTAGTCAGTTCTCACACTGCTATAGACACACCTGAGACTCAGTAATTTATGAAGAAAAAAGGTTTAATTGACTCACAGTTCTGCAGGCTGTACAGGAAGCATGGCTGGGAAGGCCTTAGAAAACTTATAATCATGGTGGAAGGCAAAAGGGAAGCAGTCACATCTTCACATGGCCAGCAGAAGAGAGAGCGAGGGAAAGAGAGAAGGGGGAGGTGCTACACACTTTTAAATAAGCAGGTCTCATGGGAACCCTATTATAACAGAGAACAGCAAAGGGGAAGTCTGCTCCCAAGATTCAATCACCTCCCACCAGGCCTTTCCTTCAACTCTGGGAATGTGACATGAGATTTAGGTGGGGACACAGAGCCAAACCACATCAGCATCTAAAACACACATATAAAATAAGTAGCCAAATAGTATGTCTGAAAAGAGAATCATTTCACATTTTTGTCAAATGTTTACCTAAAAATGTACAATTTTCCAAATGACTCAGATTTTTATCTAAAGTCCTAACTTTATATATGTCCAATCTTCCAAATTATGAAGTGTGGAAAAAGAATGAATTTTAGGAAGGCAGTAATAAAGAATAAGCTTTCCAAAGCAGATGTTTTTCATGCTCCACATCATAATATTCTGCAAGTTAATTACGTATTGCTTTTCCTTTTAAAAAGCAATACATAAATCCAAAAGGTCTTAGCATATCAAATTTAGTAATATATAAAAGGGATAACATATCACAACTAAGTGGGATTCATCCCAGAAATGCTAGACTAGTTCAACATATGAAAATCAGTGTGTTTTACCATATCAAAAGGCTAAATAATTTTTTTTAACCAGATGTTATACCAATAGATGCAGAAAAAGTTTTTACTAAAATGAAACATTCATTCATGATTAACAACTCTCAAACTAAGAATAGAAGGAAACTTCCTTAAACTAATGAAGGGTACATATGAAAAACATGTAGCTAACATCACATTTAATGGTGAGAGAACGAATGCTTTCCCTTAAGATCTGGAACAAAGTAAGGATATATTTTCTCACAAGTCCTATTTAACAACATGAAGTACTAGCCAGTGCAATAAAGCCAGAAAAATAAATAAAAGGCATACCCACTGCAAACAAAGAAATAAAACTTTCTATTCTTAAGGAATGTAACTGTCTAGAAAATCATAAGACTCTACCAAAAAAAAAAAAAAAAACCAAACAACAACAACAAAAAAATCCCAAATCCCCAAAACAAAGACTCACTAACAAAAAAACACAACCTTCTTGAACTAAAAATAAGTTGGTTTAGTAAGGTCACAGGATACAACATCAATATACAAAAGTCAATTTTATTGCTATGTACCAGCAATGAGCAACTGAAATCCCAAATTAAAAAGCAATACCATTTATCAATCTCTCCTACTAAAGGACCGCTTAGGTATAAACATGATAAAATATGTGCAGGATCTGTATGTGCAAAACTAGAAAACACTGATAAAAGAAACCAAAGGAGAGTCAAATATATGGAAAGAGACACCATGTCATTTACTGGAAGACTCAATATTGTTAAGATTCAATTCAATTTGATCAACACAATCACAATCAAAATGCTAGCCAGGTCTTTTTACAGATACATAGAGCTTATTCTAAAATTTATATGAAAAGACAAGTAATTAGAATAGCCAAACCATTCTGGAAAAGAATAACAAAATTAGAGGATTCATATTACCTGACTTTAAGACTTACTACAACAATCAATACACGGTAGTACTGGAGGAAGGATACAGTCCATTGATCAATGGAATACAATGGAGAATCTTAAAAAAGACCTTCACAAATACAGCCAACTACATTTTTACAAAGGTGCAAAGGTAATTCAATGGAGAAAAGATAAGTCTTTTAGGCAAATGGTGATGTAAAATTTGCATGTCAATATGTATCCCCACCAAAAAGAATAAGATGTAAAGATATTTACATATTATACCTTATACAAAAAAAAAAAAAATTCAAAATGGCCCATAGACCTAAACATTAAATGCAACATTATAAAAAACTTTCAAAAGGTAGAAAAAAGGCTGGGCACGGTGGCTCACGCCTGTAATCCCAGCACTTTGGGAGGCTGAGGTGGGGGGATCATCTGAGGTCAGGAGTTCAAGACCAGCCTGGCCAACATGTTGAAATCCAATCTCTACTAAAAACAAACAAAAAAACCGGGGTGGGTGTGGTGGTACATCCCTGTAGTCTCAGCTGCTTGGGAGGCTGAGGCACTAGAATCCCTTGAACCCAGGAGGTGAAGGTTGCAGTAAACCAAGATCACACTACTGCACTTCAGCCTAGGTGACAGAGTGAGACTCAAAAACAATTAAAAAAAAAAAAAGAAATCATAACAATCAAAATCACATGACTCCATTCATTTGTCCAAACCCACAACTTTACATCACAAAGAGTAAACTTTGATGTATGTGAACTTAAAAAAAAAAAAAAAAAAAAATCAATAATGCAATCAGGATCTCTGAATGAGACAAAGATTGTGAAAAATGAATCTACCTTTTTTACAAGTACCTGATACAACATTGGAAAATGGTGTTTTGACTGGAAACTGTAACACTAAAAACAAAAGGAACTGTACATAAACACTGTATGCTAGTTGGTAAATCTGTTTCTCAATTCTGAAACTGCTTTACATGTATAATATGGATAAACAATAAGTAAATGGATGATGGGTGGTGGATCAGATGTCTTACTGTTGGTGAGGGAACTTACAAAGAAGCAAAAAGAAAAGGCAACAATGATCTTTGTGGTACTGGATTATAGTTGGAGACATCTAACAGGTATCTAATGAAATCCATGCTTAGGCTAATAATTAATCGTACAGGTGGATACAGAATTATAGATGTGCGTATACATGAGTTAACATACCTACATATATACATTTTCTAACTCTGTAAGCTAAAAGAAGCAATGACACTCCGGTAGCAATCTTGGTTGCTAAATCTAGAACCCAAATCTTGGTTGCTAAATCCAATAAAAGGAACCAAGGCTCCTTGGAGAAAAAGCTGATCGTAGGGCTGGGGCAGGGAAAATATAAAGATGAGTCTGGAGTACTTTTATCTTGGTATCATAAAGTTAGTTTCCAAATTATTTCCTTTTATGTCCCCCCACATGAACAGATTTGTGTGGGCTTTTGTATAAGTTCTTTTTGAATTGTGGTTAGAATTTACCATCTTAACCGTTTCTAAACATATAGTTCAGTAGTATCAAGTATATTAACATTGCTGTGTAAACAGTGTTCCAGAATTTTCTCATCTTACAAAACTGAAACTCTATACCCAATAAACAACTCCCCATTTCCCTCTCTTCCCAGCCCCTGGCAACCACCATTCTACTTCATTTTTCTATGAATTTGACTGCTCATACAAGTGGAATTATACAGTATCTTTTTGTGATTGGCTATTTTATTTAGTATAATGTCCTCAAGGTCATCTATATTGTAGTATGTGTCAAAACTTCCTTCCTTTTTAAGGCTGAGTAATAGTCTACTGTACGCACAGATCACATTTTGTTTATCCATTCATCTACCAGTAGACAGCTATTGTGATTAATGCTAGCGTGAACATGGAAGGTTTGTGGGTTTTAAGTGGTTAAATAAACAAACCACTAGATATCTCAATGTAAGCCCCACTATTCTTCCATAACTGCCTCCAAACTCCAAGTGACTTTACATATCAACCACTACTTTAATTCTTACACTTGTGTAATTTATGATCTTTTTTTTTTTTTTTTTTTTTTTGAGACAGTGTCTTGCTCTATTGAGCAGGCTGGAGTGCAGTGGAGAAATCTCAGTTCATTCCAACCTCTGCCTCCCAGGTTCAAGTGATTCTCCTGCCTCTGCCTCCCAAGCAGCTTGGACTACAGGCATGTGCCACCACACTTGGCTAATTTCTGTGTTTTTAGTAGAGACAGAGTTTCACCACATTAACCAGTCTGGTCTCAAACTCCTGACCTCAGGTGATCCACCTACCTTGGTCTCCCAAAATACTAGGATTACACGCATGAGCCACCATGACTGGCCTATGACCATTTTTGAGAGTTAGTTCTTCTTATTTTATTTTTATTTTTAAGAGACAGGGTCTCGCTATGTTGCCCAGGCTGGACTCAAACTCCTGGCCTCAAGTGATCCTCCTGTCTCAGCCTCCCAAAGTGCTAGGACTACAGGCATGAGCCACTATAGCCAACCCCAAAATTTTTTTTCAATGAACAGATAGATTTTTAATTTTTTAGAATAGTTTTAGGTTTTTTTTTGAGGCAGCGTCTTGTTCTTTGCTCAGGCTTCATTGCAGTGGCATAATCACAGTTCACTGCAGCCTCAAGCTTCTGGGTTCAAGCTATCCTCCCACCTCAGCCCCCCGAGCAGAAGCAACCACCATACCCAGCTAATTTTTGTATTTTTTGTAGAAAAGGGGTTTTGCCATGTTGCCCAAGCTGGTCTTGAACACCTGGGCTCAAGCAATCCACCCACTTCAGCCTCCCAAAGTGCTAGAATTACAAGCATGAGCCACCGCACCTGGCCCACATTATTATTTACTAATTCATGCTTTAGAGTTCATTCTTTGTGTTGTACAGTTCTATGGGTTTTGATGCATGCACATACATCCATGTATCAGACAGAATACTTCCACTGCCCTAAAAATCCCCTGTGCTTCACCTGTTGATCCCTCCTCCTCCTCCCTGCTAAACCGTGTAAATGCCAAATTTTACCCCCCATACATAAGGTCTCAATCTGTTGCCTAGGCTTGAGTGTACTGATGCAATCAGCTCACTGCAGCCTCAACCTTCTGGGCTCAATTTAGTTTTAAAATTAGTATACTTTCCCAACGATCTCTGCAGATGTTACAATTTCTTATCTTTTTGGGTCATCCCTAATGTACCTTGAGGAGTTCAGAGATAAAATCTCTGTGCTTCCTATTTCCCAATGAATTTCATTAATTTATTCTTAAGTTAACAAGAGACTCCAAGAACAGGAATGGAAATGGGAAGAGTACTAGTAGAGCTGGACGCAGTGGTTCACACCTGTAATCTCAACTCTTTGAGGGGCTGAGGCAGGCAGATCACCTGAGGTCAGGAGTTCGAGAGCAGCCTCAACAACATGGTGAAACCCCACATCTACTAAAAATACAAAAATTAGCCAGGCCTGGTGGTGCAATCCCAGCTACTTGGGTGGCTGAGGCAGGAGAATCTCTTGAACCCGGGAGGTGGAGGTTGCAGTGAGGGGACACGCCAACAAACAGGGTAAGGCTCCGTCTTAACAAAAAAAAAAAAAAAAAAAAAAAAAAAAGTACTAGTAGAATGAAATTAGATTTTTTTCTTTCTTTCAGACAGGGTATTGCTCTGTCATCCAGGCTAAAGTACAGTGGTGTGATCTTGGCTCACTGCAGCCTCTGTCACTTGGGGCTCAATAGATCATCCCACTTCACCATCCAGAGTAGCTGGGACTACAGGTATGCACCACTACACTTGGGTAGTTTGTTACAATTTTTGTAGAGACAGAGTTTCACTATGTTGCCTAGGCTGGTCTTAAACTCCTGGGCTCAATCAATCTGTCCGCCTCAGCTTCCCAAGGTGCTGGAAGTACAGGTGTGAGCCATTGTGCCTGACCATATATAGACAAATGTTTTTATATGACTACCCCAGCCTCATCAACTAATACATTCAGGGATTTAATGATACTACCTGAGAACTCTGTACTTGACTGTCAGCTAATGCATTTTTGTTGGTTATTTTCTCTTCTCATCTCACTTTTTCTCTGACAAAAAATATTTATGCTTCTATGGTGGCTCATGCCTGTAATCCCAGCACTTTGGGAGGTCAAGGTGGGAGAACTGCTTGAGGCCAGGAGTTCAAGATCAGCCTGAACAACATAGTGAAACGCCATCTCTTCAAAAAAAGTTACTTGGGCATGGTGGCGTACACCTATGGTCCCAGCTACTCAGAGTCTGAGGTGGGAAGATCTGGGTGTGGGAATTAGAGGTTGCTGTGAGTCGTGATCATACCACTGCTTTCCACCCTAGGTGACAGAAAAAGGCTATCTGTGTAAAAAAAAAAAAAAAATTCTAAATACTAAGAAATATAAAAAAATGTTTTGTTAAAGAGCATGATGTCCATCTCCTGAGTGGTTTCAAGTGCTCAAACTGAAACACTCAGAAACATGTTTACAAAAATACCATTATATAGCCAGGTGTGGGGCTCAGGCCTAGTAATTATAGTACTTTGGGAAGCCAAGGGGGATGGATCACTTGAGCTCAGGAGTTTGAGACCAGTCTGGACAACATGGTAAAACTTCGTCTCTACTAAAAAATAAAAAAAATTAGCCAGGTGTGGTGGAGTGTGCCTGCAGTCCCAACTACTTGGGAGATTGAGGCAGGAGAATCACTTGAACCCAGGAGGTAGAGGCTGCAGTGAGCTGAGATCACACCATTACACTCCAGCCTGGGTGACAGAATAAGATCCTGTCTCAAAAACAAAAACAAAAACAAACAAAACAAAAACCATTAAACTCATCCTGATTATTTAATAATATTTAATAAATTATATTCAGAACTTAATAAAAGCCAGATTCTGTGGTAGGTACTAGTTACAGATTTAATTTACTGTTCATAACCATCCCTGGAAGTCTCCCATTTTAGCTACGGCTACCTCTAAGCAAGGAGAATCACTTGAACCCAGAAGCAGAGGTTATAGTGAGCCAACATCATGCCACTGCACTCCAGCCTGGGCAATAGAGTGAGACTCTGTCTCAAAAAAATAAGCCAGGCGCAGTGGCTCCGCCTATAATCCCAGCATTTTGGGAGGCCAAGGCGGGCAGATCAACTGAGGTCAAGAGTTCAAGACCAGACTGACCAACATGGAGAAACCCTGTCTCTACTAAAAATACAAAATTAGCCAGGTGTGGTGGCAGGCGCCTATAATCCCAGTTACTTGGTAGGCTGAGGCAGGAGAATTACTTGAAGCTGGGAGGCAAAGGTTGCAGTAAGCCAAGGTTGTGCCATTGCACTTCAACAATGCCTGGGCAACAAGAGTGAAACTCCGTTTCAATACATATATAAAAAATAAAATTAAAATAAAAAATAAAATAAA